ATGAGTTTTACCGTTTTACTGCATGTAGCACAATACAAACAAATTAAATTGTGTGCGCAATCTGTCTCATACATTGCACATCCGTCATCTGAGTATCCCAGTAAAAAAGGGAAGTCCGCCAAACAAACAGGGAAATCTGTCTCTTCCCAAAAAAGGACCATCGACGCGTCGCACGTGTAGATCAAGAATAAATCTAAACGATAGAAATGCGCCAAAACGGACCCCAAACTGATCGAAATCACACACACCATGACGAACACGCTGACGGTCCGGTACCTGGGTCTCCACGCTTGGTTTCCACGGGGGCCTCCTTCCGCCGGTCGACCGGGGGCTACGTGACCCACAGAGTGCGACCGGTGATCGGGGCAGAGTGCGACCCGTTCGACGGGCTGAACTTCGTTCGACGGGCTGAAGAGCTCGGCTGAAGCGCCGAATGGATCGTTTTTTTCCACAAAGGCAGGCAGGCGCGTTCGACCGGTGATCGTTCAGCGTTTGGGCGTTCTCGATTTTTCTCCGGTCGCGCCAGATGCACAGTTGATTGAGTGAATCTCAGAGTCAGAGTTGCTCCAGAGCTTGCTCTGCACAAATTTACGACTGAACAGGCGCCAACGAGCAACCACCTATAACCACCTATCAACGTATCCAATGTATCCATATCATCAATATACTCATCAAATTCAACAAACTCTGTGCGATTCAACCGCAATTCCACCAATGGCCCTCGCAATAGAAAGGGGCGCTGCTCTCCCAAAAAACGTCTCCTGGACCAAATGAGGTCCCAACCGCCACATGACGAAAACGATGGTGAGGTGCTTTTGACACCAGCCGATCTGTCGATCTGTCTCTCCCGTTCCTGGAGCGGCCGAGTTCGCGCCGTGGCTGCGATGTCCACAGCCTCGCGCAGCTGGAAACTAGGATGGAGCAATCGCCCTGCTTTCCAAAAGACGTGGAAGTAGGGTTGATTCTCAAGTGCCTGACGCAATGAAACTCTCAAGCTCCCCTTGCCTCTCTCATGAGCAGGCACGCTTGTTCACTTCACCTGCAGAAGTCGATCAAAACCGCCCGTTAAATGTTCCAGAACTCAAGAGCCACCTCCTTCCACACGGCCCACCTGTGAAGTAGCCAGGCATTGCTGCCGGCAAGGAATTCACGACATAGATTCCGGGGAACCGAGCTGTTGCGGCAGCTACGATGTAATCTAACGAGTTTGTTAGACCCGCGGTCCAGTAAAAGAACATTGACCGCCTTCTAACTATGCAAGTTGCAAGGTATAATCACAACTTTTTGCACTGAAAAGAATTAGGTTCAGGCCTGAGTTCTGTTCTAAAAACATGCACAAATGTCCAAAAGACATTCTCTAGTCGCTCCTGTGTGGTCCTGGCTATCAAAACAAGGCCAGGGTGGAATGCGAAGTGTGTGGTTCAATCCTAATCAGCGCAACAACTGCATGGCATGGCATCATTTTCACATGCGGTTCTCTCACAAAGGGCACAGGTGATTTGCGGAGGGACTGTCTTGCCATGTCTGTCCCAAACTTCAAGCACTTTAAACTCTAAACAGTTCCAAGCGAGGCTCACAGCTGCAGCAACGAGTCCAAAGGAAACTTCCAAAGCGTCGACTTTTGTCTTCAGTTTTAGTTGCAATCTCTACAAATCTGTTCAACTTGTTGACTGTTAAGGAGAACTCCGCTGGTCCTCCCCATGCCATGTCTTCTCTTCGTGTATTCCAACATCATCACTGTGGGTCACCTATGTCATTATGATTTTTGTTGCCACGGATGCTGCTGCGCAGGTAAAGGTAGAACTTTGTCTGCGTCTTTGGGAGGCTCTCTACCCGTACCCTCGATCACCTTGTGATTCACTTGGCTTGTTTGTGCCTTACAAGCTCGCTACATCTGTTGAATTCAAAATAAAGCAAGAGCATGCAATCGTTGCTTATCAATGATGGGTCTTGCAAAAGAAGTGAATTGAATCATCCCACGCTGATGTGAACTGTGGACTGAACCCATCATGCGCATCAGCAGCATCCCTCACAGTGGGACAACATTGGGTTCAACAAGAGCTAAAGCAGTCTGGTGGGGTTCGACTTCGGTCTTCAGGAATCTTTGGCTGAGTCGGGATGTGGCTGGGTCATAGTTGAATGGCGAATTGGCTGTCTTCTGGTTCATGGTCGGGATGCTTGGTCCGTCCTGGGTGTCTTCTCATCTTTTGCAGCTGAACTGAACCAGAACAGAAGGATCCCACAAAATTAAGAATTGTTTTACCAAACATGCAAACCATTGTTCTACCCTCTGGTAAAACCAATAATGACAATGATGTGTGACATTTTGTACTGGCGTACAAGATCCTAAACTAGCGCTTTGTCCAACCGAATCCTCCAGAGCAATAAACGGGTGCATTTCCATTGCTGGCAGCCAACCCGCCCAAGAACCCCCAAGGCGTCTAAAGGCCTCGGGGCATAGTTGCAGCAAGTTAAAGAAGGTTGTGGAGGGTCTGAGGGTTCAAGCCCTCGGTGAAAGAAGCTTACTCCGCTGGCAGTATGTCATGTCAAAGAAAAAGAACGACTTCTTACATCCGTGTTAAAGAAAAACATGTAATGTTTAGTTACCAGTGGCCATATATAGCTGAGGTGGTCTTCCCGGGTTCCATCCCAAAAGATCTGGGTCTTACAGGGCTCACAGTGGCGCTGTGGCTGCGGGTTGGGGGGCAGAGTCCAACATTCAAGGCCTTTACGCATTGCGTTGAATTTGCGTCGAAGCTAGTGAGTTTCACTGTCAAACACCAGTCATATCATGTGTTGGCATAAGTGAAGCTCTGGGCTTGACCTTCAGCCAAATGCAACCAACTGATGAACCAATCCAAATGAAAGAAGGTGCCAAAGTGCGAAGATGTGCAAAGTGAAGTGGTTGAGTCTTTGCAAACGGGCAGACGTAGGGGATTCCACGAACGCTGCGGATCCAAATGGAACTGATGAAGTGGATAGTGAGATTGTTGTGGCAAACAAAACTGCACGAAACAAATAAACAGATACAATTCCCCACAAAGCGTTTAAAGCTTGATATTTCTTGAGGAAAGCGCTCTTTAAAACTCAATCAAGAGCACTGCCAAATGCATCTGGGGACCACGAGAGGTGCAAAGATAAAGGACAGCAGCAAGGGCGCTCTTGGTGTCCTTCGAGCTGAATGCATCTGGAGGTCCAAGCACTCAGCAACACTGGAAGGCACATGACCGGCCGGAAGGCTGTTTTTGGTGCATGGGAGAGGATATGAGATGATCTGAGGAGGAATCCGGAACATGAGGGCAAAGGAACAGTTCGATGAGCCGGACTATGAAGGTAACGCGACCAAAGGCGTTGGCTGATCCTGAAAACGAGGTCGGGTCCAAACGGGTGACGGGATGAAGACTTGCGACTCCATGAGGAGAAGGCTGCCTGGCTGTGAGTGAACAGGGAAGTCAGCCATAAGCAGCCCCCCCCAAAACATAGGACTTGATTATTGAAATGGGCCATTGCAATCAAAAGGTGAGGATTGTGAAGAGGCAGAATGAGCTTGAGGCAAGCACGAGCCATGATGCCATGATGCCATGATGCAAGCAGCTGAGCATCCCCGCCTTGTTTCATTTCACCTGACACTGCAACACGAAGACAAATGTGTTGAGGGTTGAATCAACAAGAGCTTCAGGAGGTTCACTATGCACCTGATAATGTAGTTCCCACCTCTATAGGCCCTCAAGCCGATACTCCCCAACGTATTTCCGCTCGTCAGAGCTCCGCAAATCTGCGTTCTGGAACTGACGCAGTGATGCCAAGGTATGTCAGAGTGGAAACTGACAATGTTTACTTGGAATGCAATTTACGATGGATGACTGTCCCCAATTCAGGGATTGGATGAGCAGCCTACGCCGGGAGAACGCAATTCCTGCAGTTCAGTGTCGCACAGGGTCAAAGACTACTCGGTTGGTTGCGTGCTTGGTCTTGGCGACACGAAATACATGAGTAGGATGTTCTTCCTGTAGAGTTCGCTGCACCTCTATAGCCCGTGCAAAGTTTGAAAGCCAGTCTTCCTGATTCACATGTAAAACGCTTGCAACGTCTCCCAACCCGGCGAGTTCCGCAGCCCCCAACCGAGGATCGAACAAACGGGTCAGAAAACAAAGAAGAACATTGCACGTCTCCTTCCTGCTTTGGCATCTTCTCTTCTGGTTCGGTATTCCTTCGCAAAAAAGAAACAACCTACTCCACGACTTCCTGTGGTCGAACAAGCATGAAAACGGCAAAACGGATCTCCCAACTCTCTTCGCACCTCCAGCTGCCCGGAATCCGTGGGCTTTGAACAGCCACGAACGGCTACGCAAAAGCAAATAAGGAGCAAACATAAGCAACAAAATACAAAGTTCTTGCAATGTTTACCCATATACTTATACAATTCAGGTTCTGTTCTCTGGTCCTGAGCACTCACACAGCAGGACTTGTTCAACGCCTGGTTAAATTCAGCCAAGTCCTTTGCACGTCTTTCGCTACCCTGGCAGGTTCGTTTGACCCCACGTCTTTGATTTTGATGCGACTGGGACCAAGAACGAACCAATTTTGCTGTCGACCCTCCTCGTCTGGTGGTTCTGGCGGATAGGTATCGCACAGTTGAACTGGAATGATGGGAATGTCCCTTTCGTGTGCAGTTTTCAACTCTCTCCAGGTCTCGTAGCCCACGTTGGTCTTCTGGCCATAGTCACGGGTGCAAAATGCCACCATGGCGATGGCATGGTAGAGGCCTCTAATGGTAGCTGGGGCAAAGTCGCCACCAGCTCCTTGTCCTTCCACCATGTAAGTTTGGACTCCCAACTGTTCAAGTTCGTCTCTGACTGCTCTCATGTAGCTCTTGCTCTTTGGATCATTGAATCGACCAGAAAGGAACAAGTGCTTGCCATTTGCAGGAGCCACGGGTATTGGCACTGAGATTCTGCCAGTCTCTCTTCCAACAGCCACGGAATCTTTGTGATCCTCTCCTGCAGAGGACTGTGCTCCAGAATTGGCCGCCACCTTTGTTCCAGAATTTATGGCACTCCAAGGCCCATCAAAGACTTGGAAGGCATTCCGGTCAGCCACTGCCCAAGAAATTCGACTGGTCGTTTGTTGATCGTTCAGCAGCTTTTGTTGGCTTTCTGGATCAAATAACGCTTCTCTGAGCTTTGAAAGTGGGATCTCAGCCTGCCGAAATCTCTTTGCTGAAACAGTGGCCTCAAGCTCATTCTCCGATCGCATACCTCCAACTCCGAGGAAACGCTTCAGCTCCGCAACAGACATGGTGTCCTTGCAATCTCCATCCAAAAGCCTCAAGAACTTCATGAGCACATTGTAAGGATCTGCAGCCGAATTCTTCAGGTCTTCGAGCAAAAGATCGTGCAGGGTAAGGATGCCAATCGGTTTGGTCGATGGCGTGGACACCTCTGTCGGAAGCACTGGGAACAACTGCATATTTACATCATATACGCGAATCAAATCAACTGGGCAATAAATAGATCCGAACAGCTTCATATCGGGAGTTATATATATAAGTGGGCCTCAATCAGAAGCAACAGGAAGAGCCATGTGACAGGCAGGCTAAAACCCAATTGAAACAACTTCTTCTGGCCTTCATCGTTGTCGCACTCATCCCAAGCATCCTCATGGCTTCGCCGAGCTTCTCCGCAGGCATCGTAAATCCATCCTGGCCAAGTTGCGTAAGGACTTTCTTGATGGCAGTGATGCTCAGATTGAACATGACTTCCTCTGGACTCAATGCATCAACGTATTCCAATACATCCAGCCCCTCATTGAGGCGTTTGCAAATACGTTGGGCTTCTTCTTGATCGTCCTCGCAGCAGGATACGATCACGACCTGGTGGTTTGTATCTTCTCGCAGCCACTGCTGCAGCTCCCCTTCGAGTTTGTCAATGGGGCGTTCCATACCTTTAAGCAAGTGATAGAAGTCAAAGCTCTTCTTCTCAGATGCATGCTTCAGATCTTCGTCAAGACGGCGGAGCTCTTCCCCAGTGATTGAGTTCAGCATCTTTGGCTGTACGCCCACCAGTAGAATGTGGCTAGCACCACGCTTGGCACAGGAATTGATTGTACTGAACACACGGTGTCGAAAGATGTCATACCATCGCGAATCTGTGACCTGTGCAGAGGTTCAATGTCAAAAAATACAAGTGCAGGATACGGAGAGGCTGGGTGATCGTACAGAAAAGAACTTGTGTTGCACACCCAACAGTGAGAATAGCTTTCTGGCAACTTTTTCCGATGGATGTCTTTGATTGATACACTATATCTGGAAGATCCTTAAGCGGAAGATCCTTAAGCACTACCAGTCTGCCTCAAAAGAGCGGGACCGCCAAACCAATCAGTTTTCATCTAATTATATACTATAGTTCTTGTTTGCAGGGATCTTTGGGTGGTCCACATACATATTCACCCAGTCTGTTGGTGTTGCTGACTTCCTGCCTGTTTGCAGCGGACGATCTTGGTAAGGTTCTTAGCCGTGTCAGAAGAGAAGGCCAGGCCCAAGGCAACGCAGATTCTTCGCACCAAGTAGGATGTGACCTGCTCGACATGCTCCAAGCACAAAGACCTTTGTGCAACGTGTGCTCTAAGTCTAGCAATATTGGCATCTGTCCAGATGTGAAAAAAGAGGTCTTCGGAGACTTGATGCCATTTTCCCCTTTCTTGGGCAAGGTCCTTGTACAACCTTGGGTCCATCTTCGTCAGCAGCTCTGAAAGATCCACCTCAATCACAACAGGCTCTTCCCACTTAAGCCTGACCTCAAGCGGGCGGTGGATTGCATGTTGTCTGGGACGAGCTACCTCTGCGTTGTCCGCATCTTTGTCCAGTTGAAACTCGTAAGGTTCGTCATCAACTTGAACTTTGAAACTCCCAGACTGAGCTGAGAGCTTTTTAGAGACAACGGGAAACTTCTGAAATTTCAACTGGATCGTCGTTTGGAAAGTTCCTGGCTGCGAGAGCTCCACTTTATCACCATCGTTACGTTTGCCCAGCTGCTCTGGATCGCTGCATTTTGTAAAGTCCTTGAGCATGTCAAGATCGTTCTCACACTTTGTCAGGGTGTACATACACTCGACACAGCCAACGTGTGCCAAAACTATCTTTGCACTTGGCTGCTTGATGTAACCCAAGGCCTTTATTGCCACCGGTTCGCCAGCAGGCTGCATACTACAAAAGTGGTGTAAAGAGGTGATCATGATGCCCTGTCTTATCTGAGCAGGCACCTGCTTCCAGCCATTGTCAGTGGTGCACCAAGCATTCTTCGCACCACGACACACGGGCATGACTACATGAATTTCTTCAGAGAAGGTCACATTTTCAGGCCAAAGTCTCAACAAAGGACCCATAGGCACCATGCCAGCAGGCAAAGCCGGGGCATCATAGTCGTCCAGGACTTCGAATCCCAACGAGTTTGATTGGTGTACCGATTTGCTGCTCATCATCACAATGTCATCCCCTACCAAACAAATGGCAGTATCGTCCAGTTCTATGTCTAAGTATTTGCGACCGTCTTCCCAGTCAAAGTCGATCTCCTTCACAAAGGGCGCTGTTTGAAATTCCTCAACGTTGTGCAAGACCTTGGCTCATCGATGATTGATCTCACTAAATCAGCAGCGCATAGTAACTGATAGTAACCCGTCGTTCCAGCGCTAGGAGGGCTTCCGATTCCTGATTCACAAACATCGTTTACATCGGTGTCCTCGAAAAAGCGGGCAAGGGTTTCCCAATTTGATCTTTTGGAAGGGTACAGGCCTCCTCCAAGCTGTCTGGTCAGGAACAAAAACTCTTGTCAACGACCAATTCAAAGGTCAAGAAAACAAAAGCTCTCAAAAACCAAGCGCCATTTCACCGCAGGCGAAAGGGCAAAGTGCAAAGAGCGTTAGCTCAGGGATCCCTAGGATTGAGCATGAAAGGGGCCGGTAGTACCAACGTGGCAATCGGGTGGCTTCAAATTCTTACTGGTCTTTTTTTCTTTGGTACAACTGGCAATTCCGCTCTCGAGGCCTTCGTTGGCCGGATGGTTGAGCAAAATGCTGAAGGGTGCATTCAGCCACTTCCTAAAGGTGGTCCGCAGCAGCTCGCTGACTTTTGTCAGCCCATCAGCGAACTGGCAGTTCGAGGGGAGCCAGTGCATCTGCGACTTGTCCACAGTCTCCTGGATCGCCCGCACGTTGCAAAGCGAGCGCTTGTCCGTGAGGTTTGGCGCCTCGCTGCAAAAGGCGTCATACAGCGATTTGGCGTCTGTGGTCTGGGCGTAGTCCACTCGGCATCCCAGTCGATGAGCCGGGCCATCAAAAACAGGATCTCACTGAGGGTCATGTTCACGTATGCAGCTCGGTCGCTTGCTTCGTCGGCCGCGGAAGCCTCAGCGGCCAGTGTGGACCGACATACTAGCGCCGCTCGGCACGATCTCCAGTCTATTGGAGTGAAGCTTGTTGGCATAGATCGAACCTCAGGCGGGCACAGTCCGATCATGATCCCAATCTGGGATCCGCTGTGAGCGGCATTGCTCCAAGAGGCATCACTGTAGGTGACGATCACCGTCTTGGTGTTCACGGGGATGTCCTGCATGAGAAGTCCTTCGTGTGGTGTGCTCTTCAAAAAGTTCATTGCCTCGTAGAGGTCCTTGAGGTTGTGGCATGTGGTTTCGCTGCCCTGGTTTGAAAGGCTTACCGCCGCTCCTATCTCTGGTCTGCACTGTGTGGATGCCCATTGCAAGCAACCTGACACCGATCGGAACTCACGTTGTTCCGTTGGTGTGAGCTCTGGAGAACTTGCAGTCCTTCCTTTTGGAAGCTTGGCTGGTGTCAGTCCATTGAGGAACTTGGACATTGTGATCTTGAGCTTCCAACGCTTGTTTGCAAGCTGGTGCAAGCGCAGATCTTTTCCCTTGAAGGTCACGACCTGCTGGGAGAGGTCATGGAAGGAGCCCCAAGCAAAGGCGTTCTTGACCTCTTCAATGGGGTAACCACTCCTGTAGACTCCAATGAAGTTGTCCACGTATACCAATATCATCGAGACGATCTGTTGACCTTCACGCTTAATGAAAAGCATAGGGTCAAAGCTGTGGTGCCCCGGCTTCCAAGTGGATACTTTCTGCGTTCCACAGTCTTCAAACCCGACGTGATGGATTCAGCGAATGTTGGTTGGACATTCAGTCCACGGTAGCACATACACAGGCGCACACGGTCCACATGGTCTTCATCACGTTCTTCGTGCAGGATGCCACCAGTCGTGGCAAGTTCAGCAGTAGCGGGGCGCTTCCAAGACGTGAAAAAGAACGGACGGCCGGACGGCCTTGAAACTGACTGAGCTGTATACTATGAATTTGCCAAACAAACGTTTTTGATTCTTGCCAAAAACTCTAAAATAAACGCGCGCAACCCACGCAACACGCATCGAGCGCACAACCCATGCAACACGCATCGAGCGCGCGCGCAAACCAAGTCTTTTTCTTGAGCCTTAGACTTAGGCAGTGGGGAGACAGTTGTGTACATAGAGTGAGAGACCAAATACAGGGGTTAAGTCCATATTGGTCACATTGGATGCAGTTTCCCCAACCTCATTTTCCCAGATTGCGTTTCTGTTGCAATGGAGAGGGTGGGTGGGAGAAAGCCCAAGGCTCGAGAATGCCCAGACATGGTCAGTAAGGCAGGAGAAAGTTCATACGACCAGTAAACAATCAGGACATTAACAGCCAGCATCAACAGCAGTAAGGAGGAGTTAAACGAGAGGGATCAGAGACCTCCACGGAACTATACGTCCGAGGAGATAATTCTGACGCTGACGATGGCTTTGCCTTCATCATGTCCTGTGTGGGCGACGTTGCAGATTGCGCTTCGCGCTGGTGCCGCGTGCTGACGCCTGGCGCCTAGGTTCCATAACCATAGTTTTGAATTGCATCTTGTAGTCGCTCTCCAGTCAAGATCTTGTCCCTGCTTTTGAAGACATTCGGATCTGGGTTTCTTGCAAAAATCCACTGTCTGCCTCTGTTTTGTTCGCACACTCTTCATTTTTCTGACAAACAGATTACGTCGGCTAGCGACGTTCTTCTGCCACTGTCATGTGAAGTGAAACCCACTTCTCCTTGGCAGCTGGTGGCTTGCTTCGCGTTGGCAGTAAGCCGCTCCAGCTCCGCTTGCACTGCTGGATGGTCATCCGACAAGAGGAACTTGTCCTGGAATAACAGTGCGGTCCGGAGCAATATAGTGATCATATGTGATCACAATGAATTGAATCGAATCATATGAATCATCATGTGACTCAAAAGATGATGATTCTTATTCAGGTTCGTGATAATGAATTAAATACATTGCATTTACATCACATCGCATCACTTTGAATTATCGTCATAATGTCATTATCGTTGTCATTGATTTTGATTCATGATTCATAATTCAGGTACTCTGTCTAGGCCAAGGAACAATGTTGGGCGGTTCAAGGTGCATCTGCTGAAGATGCTCCACTGCAGCAATTTTCTTATTCATAGCGTGGAATTCTGATTGTTCTTCATGGCTCTCCTCAGATAGCTCTCTATATTTTTCCATCCATACGGTCTGCCTTTTGTTCAGCAAGTCGGAGTTTGTGTTCGAGTTCTCCGGTTCCGATGGTGGTACCTTCGTCTTCACGAACCATCTCTTGCTGTCGTGTTTCTATGCTTCGTCCATACTTGGACACGTTTGCGAACTCGTCTTTGGATCTCTGATATAGACCAGTGCATCCAGATTGCAAGCGTTAATCTTCTTCGTGCAAAAACTGATAGGCCATGGTTGATGATCTGAGTTCTTCTAGTAGTTGCTCTTTTCTGATCGCTTCTTTGCAATGCTCTTCTTTGGCGATCGATTGTGAGTCAACCTTGGCGAAGTAGACCTGCTGAGGGTTCTGGCGTTTCTTCTCATACCTCTAGCTCTAGATATTGATCCAGTGGCACGTTCTGGGGGAACGGCACTTCCTTCTCTAGATGCCACGGAGTCGGTTGGCATCGTGACAATGGTAACATCATTTGAGCTCACACCTGTCATTCCCGAATCAGGAGATGACTGTGACAGATTTCCTCCAGGAGCGGCAAAGGAATAGGTTTCATTTGTATTCCCACCAGAGCTGGACATAGTCAGTCACGATGTTCAATGGTTTCTCAGCAGCTCGTACCCACAGCGGGTACGGCTGATAACCTGCGTGTGGGTGTTAGTCGAAGGATTGCCGTGAAAATAAGGATCGACCACCGCCGCGATCACATGACACAGATTTGCGCACTATCCTTTTGTCACGCGGGCGCTTGAGCCAAAATGGATGTCAGTGGCGTGTATCATTTCTGTACACGTGCACTACAAGATATAGTTCTATGCTCTCACTGCACTGCTGTTGACATATTCGATAGTTAATCGGGCCTCTTCATGACCAGAGGCGATCCATACTACCCGATCTTCCAATCTACAGTTCATGATTGGAGGAATATGTTCAAGAACAAATGCATGGATCAAAGTCCAAGCCAAACAAGATTGCAGCAAACACCCCTTCTATGCACAAATACAAATCTGCTGACCTCTTCTGTGCACAGGTACAAACAATGCATATGTTGCGAACTGCTTCAGCGTTGAAACAAAGGACCTGATGGCAAATAAGCAGCCTTGAAATGCATCCAAGCAACCGGGACGCTGAAGGTGCAAATGTCGTCCCCAATCATGAGTGAGAATTCTGAGGGCTCAGAATGAAGCTCCCTTGATACGATCGGAAAGCGGGCACTTCTAAGCGTCACGAACTGCCTGACGTGCCTGACGGCTTCTTGCTTTAGGGCCAGTACTGAATCATCTTCGCATTTAGAAAGAAGAACGGTGTCCTCGCACTTGATGTAACCTTCCAAAACATCTGGATCCGTCAAATGTCCTCGTTTCAAGCGACGCCAGCAATCATCGCAAGCAACGTGCAAGATCGCCACCTTTGCTCGTCTAATCGTAGGGTGAAAAAAGCCAAGAACTTCCACATCATATGGCTCACCTGGGTGTACACGGTGTAAGGTGGTGCACATCTGTGGCACCTTGACTGCTTGAATTCTGAGACTAGTGGAGAACATATGCGACAACATGTGCAACAATGTTCTGTTTGAAAGTGTGTAATGTGAATTTTCACAACTCTGGAAACACTGAGTTGCCTTCCAAAAACTCAATTTTTGTCCATACCACTCAATTCTGCTACTCTTGTTTGATGCGATCGTGTCAAACGGTCAAACTCATGAAGCAGCTGGTTGTTAAAGCTTCTGCGGGTCACGCATGTGGGAAACGCTACATGCGGAACTGGGCTTCATTAGTTTTTATCACTGCTAGTGACACCTACCAATCAGAATGTAGCCGATCAACTCATATGTTCGAAGCCGATGATCAATTTCGCAGCAAATTTGCGCAACACGAGAGGCACTCAGTGAACGCAGTTTGGGGGCAGTTTTGAACTTGCGCAACACTGGTTCTTTGACCATCTGCAATCCAGGATGCTTAGCATGGAATATACATATATACATATCAATGACAGGCTGCCAACTCAGACGTAGCGTCCAGGACGGTCTGCCCACCTGCGTGAGATAAATGCGAACCCGGTTCACTTTTGAAGAGCAAGGGCAACAGTGACACTGACAACTGCAGGGGCCCTTGCACGGATTTATGCCTCACACACACAAAGCGCTTGCCGCCTCCATGCTCGCCAAACCCATCATTGCTACCCTCAACGACATCCGTGACATCGGCCTGAGCTCGCAGAAAATACTGGAAGAACGGCTTGGTGGAGTTGGACTCCGTCTTTGGGAGTCTTTTACTTTAGTCTTTGTTGCTTTAAATGAGGGATGTGTGTGCAGCTGAGGTACAGGTAGTTTGTTGCCGAGTTAGCTGGTTTCGAATGCCAAAAGCATTGGCTGGTGGGTTGAGGAGGGAATACTTCTGACTTCAGGAAGTAGTGGATCTCACAGTGTCCGAATTGTTTGGCCTTGCTGGAAAGCTGTCGCTCCAGTCACCTTCAACGCCTCAACTGTTGAATCCATCCAAGGCTGCACCTGAATGGTTGATGCATGCGGGTGCCCAAAAAGACTTGACCTGGAACATTGTTTTCACTTACTGTTTTTCCTAGGATTTCAGGACATGTCACACCACAGTGTCTGCACAGGTTGGTGCCTGCAAAGCTTCGGTGTCCCAACTTTGGAGCGCCGTAAATGAAACTCCAATGGTTCACGCAAAGGAATTAGGGCGCAACGTTCTTTGCACTCGGCGAATTTTACTCAGGAGATTTAACTCATAGTGGAGGGGTTCCATGAGGACGTCAATCCAGCTGAGATACAACTTTGTCGTAAGCACCAGCATGGGCATGGGCCACGCGCCCGGCCTTGTCAGTGGCTCAGGATGAGGGTGTTGAGCTCCTTCATGCACGAATCACATCATAGGAAGAAAGAAATTACAATACATATGCACCTTTACCTTGTCTCAGATTCCGTTTGAGCAAGCTGGCAGGTATTTCTACACAAACAATGTTGAAGACTGTTGAAGAAGGCAAGGTGAAAACTGATCCCAACCTTGAGTGTTCACTTTGAGTAGTAGAACCAATCCCACCCAAAAAGTTTACAACAAGGGTGTCTCACAGCAAAATGCATCAAACCTCCAGAGCGAAGGTGGGGGTTTCTATGGTCGGCCCAAAGGGTTGGGCAATTGAAGGTACCAGGCCACTACTGAGTGTTTGATGCATTTCATCTACGAATCTACTCATGATTCACTGGAGTGCGACCCTGAGATGCTCCATGTCGTTTCATCCTCTCAGTGCAAGGCAAACAAAGCATCACCTAGCGTTGGAGCTTGCAACGCTGTTTTCTGAAGATGTGTACTGCAGAAGCAAAACCCCTCGTGTTCGGTATATTGATGCCAAGGTCTTGGATGAGCAACAACTCTTGCGCATGGCGAAAAACATCCGAGCATCCTCCCTGGAAACTTTGAATTTTGCCGAGTACGTCAGTGGGTGAGTGGAAAAATAACCTCTTCCTGGGAGGTGGACAATCCCCCTGCACCTGCACAATCAATGCTTCTAAGACCACTGATGAGGACTGGTGATCCCTTTCTTTGGCCAAAGGGCGCATTGCCAGATGCGTGCAGAAACCCATGAGGCTGTGAACGACAGTGGTGCCCAAACCCCAATCATGGTGTTTTCCCCGTGGGTTTCACTTCCATCTCTTCGACAAAACGGATAATATGATGAATCAAGACCTACCTCATTGTCTGACATACTTTTGGTGAAATACAATTTTTACTTTGCCTACAAGAACATGGAGCACATGTCCCCATGGGTATGTGCAGCAAATCAGCCATCCGCTATCCACGGTGTTTAGCACAGAATTGAACCAATGTCTAAGCAATCCCGTTCATCAACGAATCCTTGTGATAGTCGTACGCAAGCGCTATGAAGAACAGAAGCAATGGGACTGCAAACAAAGACTGGCATTGCACAGAGTTGTTTATTGAGTTGCGTTCCCTTGCTCTGCAGTAAATGTTTGAGGACTCCTGTTTTTAGTGAAACAATATCTGCACTCCCCAGAGTAATAGAGTCAACCTTGTCACAAAAAAGGAAAAACATGGCATCCCTCACACACGCTCAGCTTCCATCACCTGTACTTTGTTCCAAAGAGATCTGCTAGGCCACTTGAGTAAGCGACCGCTTCGCACCCCATCTCACCTCCCACCTACTACCTGTCTCCTACCTCACATCCCCCACTGCCACAACAAGCACCACTTTGCTGCCACCACTGCCGCCACCACTACGACCGACGGTTTCCAGCGTCACTACCACTACTGCTACTTCTACAATAACGACAAACACCAAAACAGATCTCCAAAAACAGGGTCCGTAGAATCCCTTGAATCGCCCAGCCACCCAAGCCTGCAAAGAGAGTGGCTCTGGAACCCCTCACACATGCCCAACATAAGCACCCTTGATCATCTTCATCTTGCTCCTGCAAAATGCTTGGGGCAACGCCCAAAGGATGACTTGTTTGTTCACAAAGCACGAAGGTCGAGGCTGAACAAACGATGTTTATTCTCAAGGATTGTTGACAATAGTGACTGGAGGCAGTGTAGCTGGCCTTTACAGTGAAAACAATCGGGCCATCCAAATCAAGATTTGCAGTCCTTTCGTTTCAAAACAACATTTGCATTTGTTTTGCCACATACTCACAATGCCATTAAGGACATCTTAGTGAGTCGATCTTCAACACTTTGCAAAGACAATGAAAGATCATCTTTCCTGGCCTCATAGCTTGTTGGAACAGCTCGAACCGACCCTTGCGTGATTGGTGGCACCTGTGGCACATTGCGCACTTATATAGTCTTGTCCAGTATCTTCTCGTCTGGATTCATGGCTATGTTCTGATGAATATACAGTTTGGTCTGTCACAAGCAACAGAAGACAGCAGACTCACACGACCAGCACCTGACATCCTCAAGCCGTGTCAAAGTGGCACACCTCAGTCGCTCAATCGGTCTAAACCAAGCCTGTTCAGTCTGTCCCTTGGTTCCAGCTTTTAGGAAGGAGTCAATGTGCCTTCCTTGGAGCTTGCGCGTTTGCGGTTTGCTTTGTAAAGAAACATAATATGCATGTATTGTTGTGGCGTGCTAAGTCTGATGGGTTCCCTGATTCAAGCAACGTGCATCCAGGTGGAAAACATCGCTGCATGGTCACTATTCTTCACACGTGGAGATGCAAGAACACACACACAAGGCGCAGCGGCGCAGCGGCGCAGCAAATGGTTCGAGTTCAATGAAGGTGTTTGCATCTTTGTTTTTTGCGTTGCAGTGGAACATGTTGCATTCGAGAGACACGACAGCACCAGCATGTCAGCTACAGCACAGCAACCTACGAACAACATGACAGCTCTTTGCTCGCAGCAGCATAGCATGAAAGATCGACAGGGCTGCAGCACTTTACATTTGCATACACCTATAGTTCAGCTTGCAGCGTGTGTTTATCGTCAACCTGTTCTTTCAGAACAAAGAAGTGTGAAGGTTCCACCAGGCGCACCTTCGTCTCAAGGTGCTGAACATGGAAAGGTGGGTGGATGTTAACAGAAGAAACCTCCGAAAATACCACGGCAGAGTTGGGACGGAAGAGTTTGGAAGACCCAACTACTAGTTGGGACGGAAGCTTAAAAAGAAAGAAAACAACTCTAGTTGCATGGCTTGGTTCGACCCGGCAAATTTCTCCACACGATCCCCATGGTGTCGTAGGCTTCGGGTTGAAACATGGTCCAACTTGTTCTAAAACCTCATGGTGTTCGAGAAAGGATCTTGCACGATGGGCCCACACGTTCAGGACATTGAAGTGAAACTTAAGGTCGGCCAGGACTTCAGGACTTCAGAAGCAGCAGCTTTGCCATGCTTTGCCACATAGCTACGTCGTGACGAAGTTCTGAGAAAAGGCTGACCGAATCTCGGACCTCTTCGCTCCTCCAGAACTGCAGTCGGACGGCTCTGGCCTGGAAGACCGAAAAACATCGTGGCGTGTTCCGAAAAAGACTCTCCGGACAGTTTCATAAACCCTTCGAAAAGAAAAAATAACAATAAAACAAATTAATTAATTACACAGTATTGATATTCAGTAAGAATAGAATCCTGTTGCCTGGCCTTTGTGGTGCGTGACACCGTATTGCGTGAAAGCTCTTTTCACCGAGGTGCGGCCAAGGGCTCTTTCACCGGTCGGTGGTCCTTCGGAACGGTGCGGAGCTCACTTCATGCCGCAGCACGGAAATCAGGGCGGCTGGGGTTCAGCCGTGCCACTACCACGTGCTGCCTGTGGCGCAGAAGATTCCACCACACATGTTCAACCCGCCAAAAGTGTTTGAAATCAGGCAGGCGTCCGAAACTTCTCTGTACATCTCTAAAATTTTGAAGCAAGAGTGCCTCCATGCAAAATCTTCAAGCCCGAAAGACAAACATGTTGGCACTCAATCTGACTGCATTCTCAAAGCTTGTAGGCTTGGAGCGGCTCAAGTTTGACTGTAAAGTGTCGGAGCCATTGGGACTGCTCAACAATTCGATATCCATTCAGCTCCTTGGCGCGCGCTTTGGCTGCAACCCGCTCAATCACCTCCCCCACATAGTCCAGGTGACTCTGTGTGTAGGTCCGGCGCGGCATGGCCAAACGGACCAGTTCCATTTTGGCCACGTCTCCAAACATCAAAGAGCCAATCTCACAGCCACGCACACCACCTTCCACGTACAAGGCCAAAGCCAGCGCCTGTGCAGGAAACTCCTCCCTGGGGATGTGGGGCAAGAGCGCGGAAGCATCCAGGTAGACCGCATGTCCTCCCACGGGCTTCATAATAGGCACCCCAGCGGAGGTGGCCTTCTCCGCCAAATAGGCCGTGGATCGAGCCCGGTAGCACAAATACAAGGGATCCAAGGCCTCACGCAAGCCAATGGCGATGGCCTCCATGTCGTATCCTGCTAGGCCACCGTAGGTGGGAAATCCTTCAGTCAAAATGAGAAGATCTCGACATCGGGCAGCAACTTCCGGACACTTCATGGCCAGAAATCCACCGATGTTGGCCATACCGTCCTTCTTGGCTGACATGGTGCAGCCATCTGCTTGTGCAAACATGGCATTCGCGATTTCCATGGGCGTCATGTGCGCACAGGACGCTTCGCGCATCTTGATAAACCACGCATTCTCGGCAAAGCGGCAAGCGTCCAGGAAGAAGGGCACCTTGTACTTGTCACACACCGCCCGGACAGCACGAATGTTCTCGAGTGACACAGGCTGCCCACCACCGCTGTTGTTGGTCACTGTAAGCATCACCACCGGAACATTCTCTGCTCCCACCTCTGAAATGCACTTGTCCAGAGCTGCAATATCCATGTTCCCCTTAAAAGGATGCTCACTGGAAGGTATCCTGCCCTCCTGGATGACCAAATCAACCGCCTTTGCTCCACTGTACTCGACATTCGCTCTCGTCGTGTCGAAGTGCGTGTTGCTGGGGATCACTTTACCTGGACCCGCCGGGGGGAAGGACAAACCGGAACAGATGGGACCAGACAGACTCACGCCAAACTCTTTGGTCTCCTCTGGTTTCAACGGAAGAAACGCCCACCTTTCCCACCGAGAATGCTAAAGAGAATGCGCTCGGCTGCACGCCCTTGGTGTGTAGGAATCACTTCTTGAAAGCCAGTGATTTCATGCACCGCATCGCGAAACGCATAGTAGGACCTGAACCAGTGGATGCAAAGCTGCGTTCTAGACATACATGACATAGACCTCTAGCAGGAATCCACGTGGAAGCCATTCCGCCTAGTTAATCCAACTATTAGGAAAGGAAAGCAAGAACTGGAACAGTCCGATGAAATGTGTGAATGGATATTTTGAGATCAACTCCCTTCCTTGGCCAATCCAAAATCACCCAAACTCCTCCCATGAACCGAGAGCCCAAGCGAAAGCGAACGCAGCACATTCTGACCTTGCGAAAATGCTCAAGAAGTCCCCAAGAAGAAGTGGGTAGGCTGTAACCCCCAGGTTGCTGCAAGGGGTAGCTGAAAGGCTCTGGAAAACAGAAAGAAGCCATAAAATGTATACAATAAGTCAAGTGGGGCTAGAGCAGATGAGGACCGAAGACCGATGCAAACTGGCCACCGAGCCAAAACGAGCACGTTCGCGCCTCGAGCCGGCATAGGTCTCATCCCCCTCCATCATACCTGCCCACTGTCGTGCACTCATGGCACCCGTACCGCTATCGGTCAGCATGTCGATGATCACATCTTCACTTCGGAGCCCAAAGAGGTTCCAACCCGCCTGTCGGAGCCGAGCCAGCGAGTATCGCGAGCCGTTATCGCGGCCGCGAGTCCAGGAGTTGACTCGGGGAGTCCTTCAGATCGCTCGACTCAACGACCCCTCGTGACCGATGTGGCCGTCTGACTCGAGTCACGAGGAGTCGCTGGATGAATTTCTACGACCTCTGAGGTTCTTCGGTCGTCGCTGGAAATGGGGCAGAATTCCTCTGCACGGAACACATGACGGCTGCTGTGCCCCCAACCACCGGATTTGAACCAACCTTATCTAATTACAGGGTGGTTTCATTCTGTATCCTTTTTTTTTGACCACACCCCACCTTTCTGATGGCCTCCAAGCGTTCCTCACGCGTGGGGAAGGGGATCTGCTGCGTGCTATGGATGCGGAAGGGCTCGATGATCGTCTTGAAGCCCTGCAGCGCAGCATGCTCCGGCTCGAACGCCATAGCCATAGGAAGCTCGTCCTCGAGCTCGTCCTCGGTGGCGATGCAAAGCGTCTCTTTGGTCGGGTGTCGCGTGGTCTTGGGCCTAAACGGCTTGGTCGGAGAAACAAGTGGATGTGAGATGAAGAGAGGATGACCACTGAAAAAAAAGGGCCCCCAAAAGAATATCCCAAAATGCCGTGGGGGAAGAGAGTCAACCTCTTGATAAACCGTTGAGGGTCTCCGTGCTCGCTCTGCAGCCGGCTTTAGGCGGTCCAGCCTGCAGAGGACCACATCGGCACCGCACCAATCTGCGGTACCTTTGAAACAGACAAAAACGGTGGCATCATGTGGCAAGTGAGGCCAGTGAAAACGCAAAGCTGCAGTTCTTCACTTGTTTTTCTAAAGTCACTTGGATGCTGCATTTCGAGGTCCGTCACTGGCAACAGAAAAGACTCAACCACTCTGGTCCCGAACCAATACTGAAGGTCACCCCAAATCACCTTCAGGCCGCCGAGGTCAAGAAGTCTCAAGGCGATATGTGTTCATGTAAGCAGCACCTGTCGGTGTTTGCCACAAGTCACAAGTGATTTGAATGCGTTGAGAGCAGCACATCTGACTGGAATAACACCAGAATCGAAGAAGGTGCTTCTAATAGGAATCACACCATGCAAGCTGAATGGACAGCTCTTGCCCATCCTGTTTCAGCTCTTCAATAATTCGACAAAAAGTATCGTTGGTTCTTCTGGAAGCAGTAAACAAACTTGTTGCAAAACAACGCCTGCCTCACAGCAGGAGGATGTTCCGCTGGACCTGCTGCAGGGCTCTTACAAAAAACGACATCTTCACATCTTCTGTTGGGACACTTCCTAACCACGTACAACCTCGTACGCCGGACGAGATGAAACTGCCAAAGAGCAGAAAGCCAATTCCATAGTCAACTGGTGGTCACTCATATGTCATCTCTCTTGAAACTAAACGAGTACTCGTTGTGCCGACTGCACAGCTGCGTCAAGCGCACAGCACAGGAACAACCGGAGGGCCGGAAAGGCCGATTCTGTGTGGCCACACGGAGAAGCGAAAGAGTTCGTGTCAGACACGTGGCAGCTCAGGTTGACAGGTTTTTGCGGCAAAGCGCACGTGGAGGTTTGCAGGTGTTAGGCCAACATTAGCAGGCTACCCCCCATGCAGCCCATGGTCTTTGAGGAACTTCATTTAGAGTTGGGGCTGCCAAGGTTGCTTTGTGCAAGTTGCTTCGGATTTGGGCAGTTGCAAGGCCCACATAGCAGTGCCATTGTGGTGGAGGCATGCACCCAGGATAACGTGCCCCAGTAAAAGTGCCAAAACCTGGTTGCAGGTTAAGCTCAACTTGCTGCTGCGAGGAAGGGCGGTTTAGCAGCAAGTGTTTCGGTTTCCTTGGAGAACCGAAAGAGACTTCTTGTGTTGCCGTTTGAGGAGCGGAAACAGAGTTGGCAGGAGTTGTTCATGGCTTGTGGGATTTTTGCCAAGGGACCTGAAGAAAAGCTTCGCCGGGCACCAAAAAAAGAGTAGAGGAGTACCTTAGGCTGCATTTCAAACATTTGAAGATGGGAAGGAAGGCCTTCAGAAGGTTCTTTGAGTGTGGTGAGGAGGTTTGAAGAGTCTTTGTTGAGTCCGCTGGAACGCTCAAAAATGACCCAGATCTTGCACAGAACGGTTGTTCTACAAAAAGGAACACACTCCCGCTGTTCCCTGATTGCCGGGCCCTCGCACACTCCGCCGTTCACCCAAAAAAGAAGAGAACATATTTAAAAAAGGGTTAAGAGGGGAAACCGCCTGGAGCAAACGTTCTTGAGAGTAATAGAGGTCACCCGAGAGTCCTTCTTTTTAACGAAAAGACAGACCTCCCGTCGATCCACCGGTGCCGTTGGAGGATCAACTATCCAAAATATGGTCTCCAAACAAAACAAAGGTCACTCAGGCTCTAGGTATAAAGTCGGCTCGCCCTCTCGAGAGGTCGCCCCACATGTTTGGCCTGCAGTCTCTCCAATCTTTTGGCCCGCAAAAAGCGTTTTCATGTCCCTGTGGATGTGAAGCAGCGATGTCCCCGGTGTCGTTGACTGAATAAACACACCACGCACGACATCGAGCGCAGAAGCGTCGGAGTCTTCCGGCGGAGTCTTCCGGCGGAGTCAGGCATGCGTCGAGAGTCCCAAAGAAAACCCACCATATCTTCCGGGCACAGAAATGAGTGGCAAAAATCTATAACGTGCTCGACATAAAGAAAAACACTATCATATATATTGTTTCCTATGTGTTTCTTGAAACCTGCCTGTGGCAAGATCTAAAGCGTCTCTTTTGCTTTGTAAAAGAATACTAAAAGTGGTTCTTGAAACCAGCCAAGACAGCAAAACATCGCGACCCTCAGGCCCGCACCGCACGATGCCCCAGCTGGAAAGAATATGTCCATGGCAGCCAGGATCGCTCCAAAAGTAGAAAGAGTATATATGGACACCTGGTAGATCTTGGTGTATCATCACATTGTGTGAAAGTGCACCTTTAGCAAAAAGTATCTTGTTTGCGTGATTTGGTGCTGAAAGACCAAGTAGATGAAGCGCAGGTGTCTGAGTCCTTCTCACAGTATCAAGTATCTATATTATATATATACAGTATATCATTACATGTGTACATCTCTACTGTTCAGAGTACTTCCCAGACTGCGCTCTGTGTACTCTCTCTCCTTTTTCACTGGCACTCTCTGCAGTTGTGGTCTCTGCACGTCGCCCTGACGTTGTTGCGTTGGAAACTCACAAAGTGTGAGCAGTGTTC